GCACGCAGCAGGCAATGGGCGACGCAGCGCTCAGACCAGCACAACATTCAGAACAGTCAGACGCCAGCTTGAATCCCTATCATAAATATATATGTCTAGACTTCGCCATCCTGAAACGGCCGGATCGCGCTGCCCGCTCGAGAGGCAGCCCGATGGGCTGCCTCGCAAAGCTGTTGTACGCACTGCTATCGGCCACCTCCATCACGGACGCTTCATCTTCTACCTCATCCACCGCGCCTCCGCGCGGTTGCTCGCGCCATGCGCGCGCGAACAAGTTCACGGTATTCAAAACCCAAACCCGCAATCAAGTGGAATCGCTCGCGCTCGACGTCTCGGCTCCTTCGGCTCCTTCTTCAACCAGTCCTTCCAACGCGCTCCCGCGCTGCAGCCCGCGCCCCGCACGCGCGAACGAGTTCACGGCATTCAAAACCCCGTCGCTTCCTAGCGACACGCCGACGGTTAGACCACCAATGAATTCGCTCGCGCTCGGCCGGACGGCCTCGCGTTGCCTGGTTTGGCTCCTTCGGCTCCTTCTTGAACTAGTCCTTCCACCGCGCCCCCGCGCGGCAGCCCGCGCCCTGCACGCGCGAACAAGTTCACGGCATTCAAAACCCAAACCCGCCATCAAGTGGACTCGATCGCGCTCGACGACTCGGCTCCTTCGGCTCCCTCTTCAACCAGTCCTTCCACCGCGCCCTCGCGCTGCGGCCCGCGCCCTGCACGCGCAAACGAATTTTCGACATTCAAAACCCCATTGCTTCCCAGCGATACGTCACCGCTGGGATCACCAATGGACTCGCTTGCTCGCGCACTGTCGGGCGGCCCCGCGTTGCGCAGCGACTCTAACGCTTTGTTTTCGGCTTCCTCATCATCCACCACTTCTACCAGCTCCCCAATTCGGCGTAGCACGTAGGAGCCTGCGTCGGAGCGCTTAGATCAGCCTGACTTGAATATGAAACGTACCGCCAGCCCGAACCCCCTATCTTTAATATATGTATAGGCCTATACCATAGATTGACTGATAGGGATTCAAGCTGGCGTCTGACTGTTCTGAATGTTTTGCTGGTCTGAGCGCTGCGTCGCCCATTACCATAGATCAATGTATGTTAGTTATATCTTATGTACAGATACCCTCCCCCGCAAGAACTGCTGACTTCCCATACGCCGGAACTAGTTTCTGAGAAAAAACGGTAGGTGGAAATGGCTGATTACATGCAAACAAAGCTTCGACTTAAATACAAGCAATGCATCGTCACGACTTCTTTTGAAAAACTTTTTCTGCTATCCCTGACCCTAATCCTAACTAACCCTACCCTAACCCTATCCGTATTGGTAAATTTCTTACAATCAATTCAGGTTAGTTACTTTTCTTCTAGGTATCAGGTTAGTTCACTAGGTTGTATGGTAGGTTGAAAATCCTAGGCCGGATTAGTTTCTGATGAAAAGCGGAAAGTGGAAATGGCTGATTACATACAAACAATGCTTAAATTACATACAAACAATTCAGCGTCACGACTTCTTTTGAAAAGGTGGAGAGCCTCAATCGCGCAGGCTGGAGAGTTTCATGGAATAAGCGGACAGTGGAACGCCGAATTTGAAATGCAGGCCTTGAATTTAATTAAGAATTTAATGAACGGAATGTTGGGTATGCGAATGGCGGCCTCGGAGCGCCGCGGCGCGACTGCTCCTGCTCCGAGTCGAGCTCCTCGTGGTGGCCGAAGAAAAACTCATCGGGCGTAGCGAGCAGCCCTGTGCCTAGTGGAAGGCGCTGGCGTCACAGAGGTCCCAAATCTTGTTGACCATGATGCCCTGTCTCATCACATTATCGCCCAAAATCTGCGAGGTGACGATCTCAATCTCGAGCATGCCCGGGAGGAGCGTCAGGCTCGGCTCGTCCGATAGCTTGAGTAGGGCCTGGGAGAAGAGCTTGTGCTGCCAACGCGCCGTCTGGACGCTCTGCGAGTTGACGATGCATTTGACATTGTGCCCGTTGACGAGGCGCCAGCCATGCTGCAGGCGCAGCGCACCTTCGCCGTCCTCCTCGTCCGCTCCAAACTCGGGGCCGTTAGTGCCCAGCTGCCACGCGCTCCCCACCACTTGGCCATGCGTCACGGACGAGCGCGCCAGGGTAAGCGCACAGTTGCCCTCGAGGCGCCGGTACGCCTCGCCCGGCTTGACGCCCGGCTCCATATATATATATATATATACATCCCCTGTATATATTAGCGGCTCAGCATGGTTCAACAGGTGTTGTTCAGTCACTGGCTTGGTCGACGTCAGGCTGAGGTCGAGCGATCGACCAAAACCCTCATGCACCAGCACTCACACCAAAGGACATACCCTGCAACGACCCCACCTTGTCCGGCGTGTCTGCCTGCCTGTCTGATGAGTGCGCGCGCGCTGCGAGGCGTAAGTCTGAAGTAGATGCGCACGGCCAACAGTCCGGGCTGGAATTTCTTCCTTTTGGTGCCGACCGGCGCCGGCCCCAGTGTGGGGGTTTGGCGCAGCCCCCCCCCCCAGTGTGGGGGGGGGGCGGCCCCTCCACCAGTGTGTGTGTGTGTGTAAGTGGGGGGGAGGGGGGGGTCAGCTCCCCCCACCAGTGTGAGCGTAAGGCGAGGGCGTAGCCCCCGCCGGCCGGCGGCCGCTCAGTGTATGTGGGGGTGCGCAGCGCCCCCACGCTGATGGTCTCAGACTCTCAGAGCGGCCGTGGGCTGCCTCCGTAGCCCTAATCGCGCAAATTTATATGACTAATTTTATATAACTATCACTACAAATTAATGTAGGGGGGTTCGGGCTGGCTGTACATTTCAAATTATCACTATAAATATTTACTACATATTAATGTAGGGGATTTCGGGCTGGCGGTACGTTTCAAGTTTAAGTCAGACTGATCTTAGCGCTCCGACGCAGGCTCCTACGCGCTACGCCGAAGAGGGGACGCCGAAGTGGGGAGCTGGTAGAAGTGGTGGATGAGGAGGAAGCCGAAAACAAAGCGTTGGAGTCGCTGCGCAACGCGGGCCCGCCCGACAGTGCGCGATTAACTACATATATTATTTCGCATCATCCCGTCAGCATTCCGTGTCGTCGATGATGGTTGGGGGCCCTCATTGAGCGATTGTGAGACTGCTATGAGGTGGGGATGCGTAAACGGGCCCGGAGGCCTGGGGCCGCTGGGTTGTGTAAATGTCTAGAAATACGTCCATCCCCTGGCAGGTCACCACAGGACCCAAGCGTGAGAACCCATTGGCGTGGCGAGTCGCCATCGGCGTGGCGTAGACGGGCCCGGGTTCTCAACAATTTTAAAATCACCATTTTTTGAATGCATTTAATTATTCATTTACTTGAGGCACTCATTTTTTATTCATGGCAATAATAAATCATGGTGGGCGCATGTCAGCTAGCTCAATGTGCCCCAGGTCCCAGGCGAATGGTCCTGACTTTTCAGGCGGCGTGGACGTCGGGAAGGCCTACATACGTGGTGTGCACGGACTGTAACTTCTTCAACCAGGTTGATTGAACGCCGAAAGTAAAATCAAAGATGGTGACACTGCAATACTAGTTATAACGATCTAAATGTTTACCGCCCACCCCGGCTGAACTTACTGCCCAGCCCGGCTGAGTTCACCCGGCGACGGCACGTTTACGACCGCACATTCCAAACGACGAGTGTCTCTCAGAGGCGCGCCGGGCCGGCCTTCTGCCAAAGGCCCTGTATCTGCCATACACTAGCGATGGCCCAGCTCGCGGCGGCGGCTGCCCGCCCCTCGGCGCGCACCCGCAAGTCGCAAGGCGAGGGCCGAGCACAGCCGCGAGTATAGCGCAGCTCACATGAGCGAGATCTGATCCGGTAGATACAGGTGGCGGTCCGAGCGACTACTCCTGCGCAGGAATGCGAGCGGTCCGGGCTTGGTGCGCCCAAACGTGGGCGGCGGCGGGGGGATGTTGGGCGGCACGACGACCGTGTGCTTCATGCTTCGACGGCGCTTCTTGCCGCTCTCCACGGCCACCAAGTCGTCGGGCTCGAGACAGCCGCGCTTCTGCAGCGCGCGGCGGCCGACGAGGTAGAGCAGCCGCAGGAGGAGGAGCAGCAGCAGCACCAGGTAGAACACGTAGATGCTCAGCGAACGCGAGATCGAGCGGTTCAGCACGATGTGAACCTGCACGGCGGTCGTGTTGCCCATCTTGCGCTCGAAGGCCCAGCACGGCACCACAGCCCCGATGACCCTGACCGTGTGCAGCCACCTCGTTGCACTCTCCGCGCAAAACCTGCAATTGCCAAAAGCCATACACATGAATATTATTATTATTGTTATTATCATTATTATTTGGCCGCTTTGAAGATTCTGGC